TAGGTACTTAATTTCATTAAGTACTTACTTAACGAGCGCTAAAAGAGTAGGTACTCTACAGCCAAATCTCGTTAAGTATGAATGTGATCCAGGCATCATCCGCCATGTTGACGTTATTATGTGATCTACGACGTTACAAGCGCAACAACATAAAAGATACGAGCGACAGGTTTAATTCATCTCTCTGTAAATATTTTGATGTTTATTAAAATTTCCTGTTGAAGAAACAGCTGCCCTTTTATTGTGATTGTAGTGTAACCAATACATTTTGGGTTGATTTATATTTTTAACCCTACTAATATGACCCAGAGTTTAATCCTTAAATATATTATTTTTTATTACTAAAACCCAAAATCGTTATCTCTTGAATATGTTGTTACTTTATTTTATGTGCAAAATGTTTCATCCATAAGCAATACCGGCTTAAATCTCCTGTTTTCCTCTTTTTCTTGTTGAATTTCTCTCGTTTCATCCCTCCGGCTTATAAACAACAACAACAAATGCAATATATTTGATGCATTGATTATATGAATATTATGATTATTCAAAGATATTTCACCTTGTCATTGTGCCTTATTTCTGTGCATATAATGTATGCAAACCCATTATATTTGTTTTTTTTTGCTTTTTGTCATTATGATTGTTCATTGTTAAAGATACTAGCATCTTTCCCTGAGCTTGTATGTAATTATAAGTTCTGCAGTATTAATAAAACAATAACATAAGATCGACAGGTGCACTAACACCTCATAGCATCAGTAACTCCACAAATCTACCTAGTACAGTTTTCCTCAGCGTTTGCAATATTTGTAATATCTGCACAAAGCAGACGTCGATCAGCTGCTAGAAGATCTCGCCTTTGGAGAAGACTAATCATTTTACACTCGAAAAATGTATTACTACTTAAAAATTAAGATGACCGCGGAATGCATTGCTAGCCCACCCCAACACTTTATTATGAACAATAATAATGATAAATGCTGACCAATAATTATCAAAATGTAATTTGTTTTGTCATATGCTATAGCTATGCATGACTACACACTAGACAAACGCAGCCAAGCTGAATACATCTCAATTTTCAGTCAAGTAATGAATTAATGCACATGAAACAATTATATTTTATTTACTGAAAACAGGAAACATGAATAAATGAGTAAAAGAATAAGAATAAAAGAAAGGATACATTCTTTATGATGTATCCTCTCGCGTGGCCTCCTGGGATAGAAAAGTATCCATCGACGAGCACTCAAGAAGCTGGGCAGAAGCAGTAGGACATCTGGGAACTTCTCGACTACTCTTTTATGAATACTGAGGTTTCGGACATACTTATTCGCTTGGCTACTGCTTTTCGCCTACTATATAGTAGAGAAGTAGGCGGTTTTGGAAGCAGCCACAGACAAAGCCATGTGCTCAGACACAAGACAAAGAAGGACACGTTAATCAAAGACAGAACAGACATGACTGTCAGGGCAGGACCCTGACACAAAACACATAAGACAATGAACTCAGAAGGGTATCGTGCCTCACGACCAAACATAATATAAAATAGAAATAACTTTGTTGTCATCTGTTTTTTTTTCTGCCCTTAGACCAAACATAACAGCGTCAAGGTGTTTGTCCCACTGCTTTGGTTTTTTTGGAGACCAATTTGCTAAGAGCCCTTAAACATTTAATTTACATTAAAATACATAAGATATTTATAAATATCTGTGAATTCCACATTTGGTTTATAACAATTCTTACAACTGCTATTATAGCTTAAAAATTAGGCTGGTGTAACAGAAAGAATAATAATAATTTAAGGACCTTTGTACTAAAATTGATGTATACATTTTGTCCCAGTCATCCTTTCGACTGGACTGCGGAGCACTGTTTTGTTATGTTGCAAAGGGTTTTAAAAACAACAGTATTGATTAATCACATAGTTTTAGTCACCGTCAATGTCATAAATAGCAGCTTTTTTCTGAAAATTTAACTTTCCGGACTTTTTCGTTGTCATCTGTTTTTTTTTCCGCCCTTAGACCAAACATAACAGCGTCAAGGTGTTTGTCCCACTGCTTTGGTTTTTTGGAGACCAATTTGCTAAGAGCCCTTAAACATTTAATTTACATTAAAATACATAAGATATTTATAAATATCTGTGAATTCCACATTTGGTTTATAACAATTCTTACAACTGCTATTATAGCTTAAAAATTAGGCTGGTGTAACAGAAAGAATAATAATAATTTAAGGACCTTTGTACTAAAATTGATGTATACATTTTGTCCCAGTCATCCTTTCGACTGGACTGCGGAGCACTGTTTTGTTATGTTGCAAAGGGTTTTAAAAACAACAGTATTGATTAATCACATAGTTTTAGTCACCGTCAATGTCATAAATAGCAGCTTTTTTCTGAAAATTTAACTTTCCGGACTTTTTGGAATTGGAAAAAAGAAAATTGGTAATCCCAGAGGATACCCACCACCTGTTGTGTAGTTCACAATAGCACTGTACGTTACAGGATCCATAACCTACAGACCAAAAAGCACAAATGAACAAGTAAGGATTGGTTGTCTAGGGGTTTGCTGGCACAGATGTAAGTGATTGTAATTTATAATCACATTCACAAAAGTGTAACATCTAAATGTTTTCCCTCTTCATGTACACTGATCCTATAAGGGCCTTTAAATGTTAACATATATTAATATTCATTATTATTCATTCATTAATTAGTTATTTATTGACTTATGAATCTACAGTCAAACTAAAATCAAGGTAGACTCAGATTTTTACAATATTTTACAATGAGAGTAGTAAATAATGATATCAATTCTATTTGAGGTAAGATTTGCAAGGCTATAATAAGCTACCCTAGCTGACAAACATAATTTACAAAACAAATATGGGGTTGATTGACATTTTTGAGAGCACAATACTGTGTAGCATACACAACACATACACAAATCTCTCATAAAGTGATTGATTACGGGCCTGACAATAATTGTTGTGCTGTTGTTTTGGTTTATTTTGAACAAAAACACGTATCGAGCTTTCATGACTTCCAGCTAGTTAGTTGGCTTACAATTTTTGTTCCACAACAGAAACCCTTCTACGTTTCTCTTTAAGCCTTCTTCGGCGCTCCAAGTCGGGCCACAGTAGTGACTCTAAAGCAGCTGTTCTCCTTTCTGAATGTGCCTCAAGAACTTCATATAATGTTGATCTTATTCTCCTTCTGTGTGCTTCTGTGGAGGGACCAGGTTGCTCTTCTGGGAGAGGCTGTTCTTGGGAGCTTGATGCTGGTGCTGCTGAGGGCTGCGGAGCTGTAGTCTGGGGATTTCCCAAATAAGTCTTCCATTTGCTGTGAGAAAACATGTGAAACAATATAAATATAAATGCATTTAAAATATTTTAAATGTAAGCCCAGTGATTCTGCAGTGATTGCAATACATAAAGCATGCCAACCTTGTAATACTCCCAAGTTACTTGTCCCTCTCCTGTTGCTCGACACCGGTCTTTTTTCTCAATTTTTCATTACTGATGCTGTAATCTTTTTCTTTAAAAGCTTGCTCAAGCTTTTTGTAGAATGCTATTTTATTGGTGTAATACAGATGCAGGTATTTTTGTGTGAGGTCAAGCAGCAGCAGTGTGATCCTGTGTGTGAATTCCATGAAAACAACAGTTAATAATTGTGAGAGATAAAGTTGTATAGATATTGGATAGTGCACTTTGAAATGGTGCATACCTTGTTGGGTTTCTTCACATTCTAACTGTTTGGATGGGGATTAAGGATTGTGTGTTTGCTGGACTTGTTGAGTGAGACTTATTTTCCTTGTTTCAACAGAAAACTCCACAAGTGATGCTGGACGAGGAGTAATATCTGCCAAGGAAAACACAATAAAAAAATCCCTATGATCATTTGATGAATGTGGCTAACAAATACCTTACTGTGCTTCTGTGCTGCAGATCTCACTTGTTGCATTAAATATGCTGCATATTTTTTATCTGTAAAAAATGTTAATAACAATAAAATCAAATACAATATTGCTCCTTGGTACTCTGTTAGTGTTACTAACACATTCTCCATCTTGTTGCAATTGTTAGCTTTGTGGATGACTTTTATAATTAAAGCCATAATGGCAAATGAGCACACAGATGCTGCACTAAATGTACATCGTTATCCCTAATTAAACAGTTCAGAATTGGAAATGGTGTAACTGATTTACCTAATGATGTTTAGCCTATTTAAGCGATGTTGGTCACCCAAAGGTGACAGTTCTGTCATGTACTTACCCTCAGGTTGTTCTGAACCTGCATCAATTCCTTTGTTCTGCAGAACACAAAGGACACAATTTAGAAGAATGTTTGTAACCAAGAAGTTTTCTGGCCCATTCACTTCCATAGTATTTTGCCATACTATGCAAGTCAAAGCTGGCCAAAAACTGTTTTGTAAAGCAAACATTCTTCAAAATGTCTTTCTTTGTGTCAAGCCAGACCCTGTCACTTCTCAGATGAGACCACACAAAGATGAGGCGTAATGGCAAAACAGTCCCATTAGATATATGTATGTGTGCATGTATGTTTTAATGGATTGACTTATTCCATGGAATAATGTATGAAAATTGCAATCTACAAAATTCACACAAACATACAATACAATACAATAAAGTGAAAATGACAACAAACAGGATGGTGCGGTGTTAAAAATAAATAAATGAAAACTTCATTAGTATATTCATTAACATTCATAGAAAAAGTAGCCTAAGCCTACAATGACAATAAGCAACAGTAAAACATGAATTAAGTTGAATCAAATTGATTGTGAAAGTCATTTCAACTTAAACTGACTTATGTCGAGTTCACACTGCACGATTTTAGCCCGATTTTTCACTCGCCGACAGGTTTTGGGAAATCGCCGACAAATGCCCGAAATCGGAGGCAAATGTTCGGTGCTCCTTCACGCGGGTGACAATCACGCAGTGTGAATTATCAAAGACGCGATCTGAGGGAATCGCAGACGCCCGTGAAATATTTGGCATGCTAAATATCTGGAGCTGTCGGCGATTCACAATCACGCTGTGTGCAATGATTTCTGACTGAAAAACACATCGGCGATGACCTACAGCCAATGAGAGACCAAGATACAGGGCAGCGGGAAGTTCGGGGAGGAGTTATATGAAACGTAGTTTGCGAACCAGTGTTGCGAAATAAGTTTTGAGTAGTAATTGGGCGGGTTTTGTAGCGAAAACCTGGCAAGCCTGCACCAGACAGAGCTGTCGGCGATTCTTCCTATTGTACAATCATGCAGTGTGTAACCTCCTCCTGTCTCGTTCCATCGTGCAGTGTGAACACAGCAGCAACTGAATGCTACCCCAGATAGTCGTTCAGTGTGAAACCAACAGTGATGCGACGTCTTTGAAAATCGTGCAGTGTGAACTCTGCATTAGGAAGTCGACTTTTTGATCATATTTATTACCTGTAACATGTCTGTGCCGTACACAAATCAAGAATTAGCGACCATTTCTACAACCATTGCAAAGATACAGCAGAGAAAGATCGAGAGCGTCTATTTACTTCAGCAGCAACCAATCTCGCATTCTCGCATCTGCAGCACTTATTTTGATCTTTTACATTAGATCTTTCCTATTCTTGGAACAAAATTAATGCTTAAGGTTGATTCAGTATTACTCTTAATGAAAAAACTAAATAAATCCCACACACAACATCAGCAATACTACAATGGCAAAGTAGCTTATATTTTAAACATAAAACTTTTATTAAAGGGGTAATATGATGCGATTTCAAGTTTTCCTTTCTCTTTGGAGTTTTACAAGCTGTTCATGAATTGATAAGATCCCTAAAATTGCAAAGACTAAAGTCTCAAATCCAAATAAATATTCTTTATAAAAGTTAAGAGTTAACCACACCTACCTAAAACGTCTCGTTCTAACACGCCCCCACATGTCTACATCACTATGTGGGAAGATTTGCATAACACCACCCAAATGTTCACGCAAAGAAAGAAGGCATAACTTTTATTCTCGCTGTAGTATTGTTGTTGCCGCCGCCATGTCGTGAAGACACTGTGTTTTTCGTTGTGAAAGCGAAACTACTTTGTTTGGTCTTCCAAAAGAGGACAGGACTAGAAATCAGTGGTTAAGTTGTATTTACAACACTGTTCCAGAACACTTCAACCCAAATATTCAGATGTGTGCAGCACATTTTATGCAGGACTGTTTCCTGATCCTGGGAGAGTAGACTACAATGCCGGCTGTTCTGACTCACAGACTGTAAGTACGTTTTTTATATTTAAAGGATTTGTCACTGATGATTCACACGTGAGTTTTGGGCACTGTAGAGTAGCACTTGTTTGTCATTTCTCCGATCACAAATGCAGACATGGTTTTATGTTTACGCGGCACGATGCAACGCAATGCGTAAAAAGACAGTATAAGTCATTGTAATCCGTAATTATGGCCAGACAGGGCATCACAGTATGGTGAGGGGCATAACATTTCCGTCACACGCTTGAGGTATTCGGCCAATCACAACACACTGGATAGCTGGCCAATCACAGCACACCTCGCTTTTCAGACCGATGAGCTTTGTAAAAATCGATGTGTTTCAGAAAGTCGGGGCATAGAGGAGAAACAATAATGTACAGCATGTGGAAAATAATGTGTTTTTTAACCTTAAACTGCATAAACACATTTCATTACACCAAATACACAAAATAATGTTCTTTTTAGCAACATCATATCACCCCTTTAACAGAACGAATAAGACATACCCGCGTTGTAACAAATAAATAAAAGGTTTTTGGATTTTCCCCTTATTTCAAACTAATGCGTAGTTGTGGTTCATTATTATTAATAATAATAATAATAATAATAATAATAAGGCTATACAATAAAACAGTACGATGACAAATTCACTTATATTAAACTTTGAACTTTTATTAGCAATATGAATAAGGAAAATATGTTTTACCCGCATTGTAACACAAATAAATAAAAGTTTTTTGGATTTCCCCTTTCTTTAAAACGATTGTAGTTGGTGGTTCACTATTATCCTATTAATTAAAACACATCAGCCATAAAATAGTACAATGGCAAATTCGCATAGGCCTATTTTAAACATCTAACTTTTATTAACAAAATGCGTTGTAACCCAAATAAATAAGTTTTTTTCCCTCTATTAAAACAAATTCTTAGCTTGTGGGTCATCGTTTTATTTAGTTATTTATTTATTTTTTATGAAAACAGCAACAATAAAGACAAACTCGCTTATATTAAACGAAGAAATAAAAGTTTTATTAAAGGGGTCATATGATGCTATTTTAAAGATCATTATTTTGTGTATTTGGTGTAACAGAATATGTTTAAAACACATTATTTTTCAAATACTGTAGATTATTGTAGGTCCTCTATGCCCCGCCTCTCTCAAACACTTCGTTTTCTACAAAGCCCCTCCTTCCGACAAGCGCAGTCTGCTCTGATTGGCCAGCTGACCCAGTGCATTGTGATTGGCCGAACACCGCAAGCACTCGTCAGAAATGTAACGCCCCTCACCATAATCACCAGCTTCATCTTTCAAAGTAATTTAAAGTTAATAATGTCATTAGTTTTACCCTCAGTTCAAGCCCGAAAGGGGAACAGAGTCGCGTGACAGACACAGTGATGATGCAGATAACTTCAAGTCAAACATCAAAAATCCTGTTATACTAAAAGTAAAAAAAATAAAATTATATAACAACTTTCACACATGCATCCTTTCACAGGCATGCGTTT